TAAAGTGAAGTTTTTTGTTTGTTTGGTTTTTTAAGCGTGTTGGGGGGGGGGGCCCTTTTTTTTAAAAAAAAAAAAAAAAAAAAAAAAAAAAAAAAGGTAGGGAGGTCTGAATAGAGAAGGCAGAAGGGGCCCATTGCCCTTCAGTTTTTCACCTATTAGAAGTACTCTTCCTTTTGAAATTAGAGCAATATTCCCTTTTACATAGGCAACATACTGAATAAGCTTTCTATTGCAATCTTGCTACCCCTTAAATGCATTGGTAATCCTGTTTCATACCTGCAAACCATAGCATTCTTTGGGTTAACTGTATTTTGAAGGATTGGATTAAGTAGTTCTATGCCAGTTTGATCAGCAGGAAACCATACACCTAAGAGGACAGTATCTTATTAGTCTGATATTTGATCCCCATGCAAGAGGATTACTACCAGTGAGATCTGTGTCAGCAACCAAAGACTTCAAGAGGAAACAAATGCTGCCATGTATGGTAGGGAACGTCACTGGTTATGAATTATAAAAATAAAACCTCTTAAACCTTACAAAATGAATGTAATGTATTGAATGTAACATTATTTCTATTATTGCCTTCACTTCTCCCAACCACTTATTTAAATAAAAACAGTTAGGCCTGGGCCAGCTGGAAGGTGTTTCTTTGTAATGTGGATCAGTTGGGTGCATAAAGCCCTGATTGTCAACAGAATAATATTGGGGCAGGGGAGGGGAAGCAGAGGGGAGAGAAAATGCACATAAGCTTAGGTTAATTGCAATAAGTTTTCTATATGCTGTGTATTTGTTGCATAATCATATGTTACATGTTCTTTAAAGTCTGCTCTAGAAAGCAGTGCTGATAAGTGAGGTACATACACTGCATACCGAAGGCATGAAATTACCAAGTATCCAATACATGTACATGGCTCCCTACAGGGCCGGCTCCAGGGTTTTGGCCGCCCCAAGCAGAAAAAAAAAAAACAAAAAAAAACCCGCGATCGCGATCTGCGGCGGCAATTCGGCGGAAGGTCCTTCGCTCCGAGCCGAAGTGAGGGACCATCCGCCGAATTGCCGCCGCAGATCGCGATCGCGGCTTTTTTTTTTTTTTTTTTTTTTTTTTTTTTTT